CCAAAATGCAAAGTAGTCATCCTTGTATCTGATAGGCACTCTTGTTTGCAACGATAACACCTCGAATTCTCATTCCTTTTTGTCTCCGTTTATATTTTCCAAAAGAGGTGAGAATAGAGATCCCATGGGCAGTCCAAATATTTGCTCATAGATATTTCCGTTAAATGTAAAATAGGTCGTCAGGTTGATCAGTCGTATTCACGACTCATTCCATATTCGTTCTGTTTCCTGGATATCTTCCTTTCCTTCCATGATATTCAGCAGGGCCGTGACTGTCTCCTCAGCAGAGATGTTTATGCACATGGATTGTGCATTAAAATTTACCATCATTTCCGTCCATGCTAGTCCAACTTTTTGGATCTTTCTAGAAAATTCTTATGAATTCTTCACGGTGTTCAGGAATTTATTATTTTCTTTCTTACTCTCTAAGCATATAACTTTCGTCAGTTTGTGTGTTGCTCCTTTCTTGTTGTGTATCTTTGGTAGTCTGTAGATGGTCAAAAGTTTTGCATCATTTTTACTTAAGGCGTTCATAATCCATCTATCGATTTATCCCTTGCTTTATATTTCCTTTAGCACTTTTTTTCCTTAAAAATGGAAAGGTTTATTCACGTATGGGAATCTACCAAGCCCACGGTCCGACTGGTAGTTATCATACATACTATGTACTCCGGACAAAGTGCATTCCTATGAGTCTTCCTGCCAATATGACCAAGTAGCGAAAACAATGTCAAACAACTTTTATAGCTTTATGTTATTTTTTCCATTAATTTAGCTTTCTGAAACTATTCTCATTAATGTAATTCAAAAACAAGTCGAGCTAATTGACTCAGATCACTTTCACTATTCCAATTCAAGCATAACCACCACCTTTTTCGCTATTCCTCCCGTCTCCTACAGCCATGCAGATTCAGTGCCAGCCGAGGCTGGAGTGTATCGCTCAATCGAGCCTATTTACGGGCCAGTTGAGCCATCATGTAAACAGAATAGCGCCTTCTGCGTTGCCATCTCAAAATGGCTCAACTAGTCGGGTTTCTATAGGAGTCGCTTCTGCTATATTGGCGGAGGCCGAGCGCAATTTGATTTCAGTTCAGGAGTCCAATCCCACTTTTGGCGGCCTGTGTAGGCAGGAGAGATCGTCACGACTGAGTCGCATCGACGTCAACTCACCGGCCTACCTACAGTTTCTGAAGCAGAAGTTCCTTCTTTAGACCGGATCACCGAAGATCATTCAATTTGTCATCTCTGAAGTTGCCTTATTGTGTTGTCCTGCTTCATACCCTTCTGTGACATGCCGACAGGACTTGTTTAAATCACAACCGTACCGGCTCTACGACACAACTGTCAATTCACGGAGGTATAGGTCGGCCTAGTTACAGACTGATTTTTCATCCGCCAGAACACTGTCATTCTACTGCCTGAAGAAACGCGACACCCGCTTCGTGCATGTTCTTGTGCTTGTGTACGTGTGTGACAGAGCCACTGCCACTCGTCACACATGTAGCCCCGAGTAGGGCTTAGTTGTATTCACGTGTTATAGGGCCTGTCGACTTTTATCTGCACTTTCCTATGCGGCTCAGTGTGTACACATAGAACGCAGGGCTTAACGCCTCAATGGACGATGATGAAAACAGTGATTACACACTCTCTTGCCTTGATCGCAGCTGTCTATTTCTGCACGCTTCCACATGAGTATGGCACAACGCTGCAACCTGTGCTATCCTCTTCTGGCTACCTTCGTTTGTGCTTCGTTTGAAGTTTTCTTGACCTCTTTTGTTGGACGATTATTTTTATTTTAGTGCAAACTAGACTAGCAGCTTTCGATATGGGATTCATATACGGACGTCATTTGTTATTTGTCATTTGTGGCGTCAAACTAGAGGCGTTGACAGAGTATGTATAGAAAGGAATAGAACTATTTTTTGACTAACCTATTCTCCTCAATAAACGCGGATAGCGTCGAAAGAAGAAAAGGGTGGCTGGAAATGTAAAGTACATAAATGGTATGAGCAAGGGAAGCAAGGCTATATGAAATGCTGAGTAAACATGAGGCCAACTCAAATGATTTCGGGACAATTTAAATACCAAACCTTCGTCACCTTAAACGAAATGGGGTGAATGCAGCTCCTATTCAAGATCTGCCTACAGTTTAGAAACCTACTTACTACCGATATAATTGCATACTCGCAAAGTTTGCTGAAGAAGCGGAGATTCTACGCTTTAAACGATCTCTCCTTTGATTAAGATTTTTCACAAACACACAACAGTTTGATGAAATCTTGTCCTTCAGACTGACAGAATGGCATGCTTGGCACCTATTTATTGGCACTCGATTCAGCCTCTTGCAAGACGGTTCTAAGTTAAAAAAAAGCAAAATCAAATGGCATATATTGTCGTTCAGCCGTTGGTTTCGTACAGACAGTTGTTTAAAGGCTTTGCACAGTTGTGACCTCTCATTTGACCCAATTAATTCAACTTTCATCTGTAAGAACTTTGTTAGCCTAGGTTGCTTATGGTCTGTTAGTCGCGTCTAACTAACCATCTCTTTGCAGGATAACTAATCTCTTTTCTTAAATCACCTGGCTTATTGTCTATATACAAATTATTGATTATCTTTAAAGCTACTCATGTCGAGATTAAGTAACTTCGTCGATTGCAATGGCAATAAATAAAATGTCAATTGGGAGGGACCTCACTTGTCATGAATACTGCATCTCTCCTCTGACCGACTGGCAACCGTGGTCTTGTGATGATGTTTCAACGTCGCTTTTATTTTTGCATCAAGCCTCTCTATGCCCAGCATTCCAAAAGCCAAGCTCCTTGTTAGGGCTAAAACTCAATTTCAACCTCATCTACCTCTCATTGGCATATTAACAACACAAATCCTGCCCTGAGTAGGAATTTGAGGATGCAATGCCAATTAAAACTCAATGGCAAAATCAAGTACTCCTTCCATAACTCGTAAAGAACCTCTTTCCTCCTTCCTTGCACAAACATCAACTCTCATGGTTTCTCTATTTCCCTTTTAAGCATCTTTTTCATTTCCTCCCACTACCTTCAAACTTCCCTACCTTATTTACTTTTTCCTAACTCGATGAACTGGGTGAGCTGAGGACTTGTTGGCGCAATCAATCAGTCTTCGCTACAATTCAATCCCCTTTTGGTTTCGGGCGGGGCCAATTCATAAATTTCCTACAGCCAACCATCCACTTAATATGGATGTTTGAGTCACTAAGGGCTTGCTTAAACCCAGCCTTGCATTTACATACACCGACTCTTTATTCATCCGCGAATGTGTAAAAGGAACCATGAAAAAGCCGAACAACTAATCGCATACTTAATCGTTGTAGCCAACCACCTTCTTAAGCAATGCGTTTCTGGTGAGTTTTGCTGAATAATGGCTCCTTGACCTAAGGATGTCTGTCACGTCAGGACAGTTGAAGGTTCAACATTGATTCGGTTTCGGGTGAGGCCAATTAAAAAACCTTTTCATACAAAAGTTCCTACTAGATAAATGGTCCAATTAAATTACATTAGTAAGGGATTCCCTGAAACCGAATTTTGCATCATTTTAAGGAGTAATGTATAACTTTAAATGTCATATAAAGGGCAAAATTTCGTGGATTTCCGAAATTAACATTCTCTAACTAGGTCAAATATCATGTGATTTTACCCCCTGTCATAGATACTGTTAAGACATATTTTAACTCGGCTTTATCAGAGAGTAAGGTTATCATTTTTGATTTGTTGTTCAAAAATGCAGGAAATAACTAAATCGTACCGCTGGATTTTCAACAAAAACAATAGCATATTCTTGAGACCTGAAGGTGCATGCTTCCTAAGTTTTCGTTAAAAATTTAGAGTAAATTCTTTGCTTGTCTTTTACTTACATTATTATCATATCCTTGGCCTCTGGTTAGCAGAGCACGCAAGCTTACAAGCAAGGACGACCATACCTAGGGAATACTTGAAAAACTGTCAGACAAGAGTGTCTCCGAATTAAAAAGTTGTGATTTCCTACTTGAGTCACTAGAATGTATGCTTTAAGTTGATAATTGAGCAAACCTTACATATCCTTATGTGGGTTTGACTCAGCCATATTTTGAGCTCATAAATATTTTGCCCTTTTTAAATGTGCAAACTCCATGCTTGCTTATATGGCCTAGATCGCTAGTGGCATTTGCTCCGGAAGAGGCCATATAGTAATGCTGAATCTCTTCCATACGTGGATTTCCAACATTTTTAGATTTGTACTTTATTCCCTGATTGGTTATGTACTCACGATGGAATGAATAGACAAACAGCCATTGCCGATGAAATCGGATGACCTTTCTATCCTGAAAGACGCAAGGTTGACTACAGTTTTTACATTATTTAGCTATAATTACCCACCTAAGAAATCATAATCCACCTAGCAACTGTCAGACAGCCATTCTATTGTATCTGACATTTTTCTCCAGAGGCAATGAACTATAAGACATAATGAAAACTAAGACAAGTCGTGCCTCTCACAATTCATATTTGCATTGCTGCTAAAATGAGAAGGGAAATATGCTTACATCGTCCTAAGCCGACTTTGAGTTCGGTGGCGAGATTTTATTGATGGGAATGAAAATGATGATGGCATACTTTTCAGTGTTTTTTTCGTGAGTGAGTAGGCTTTCGAGACTATCACTAAATCAGATATATAATTTTTATTGCTTTTGAAGAGGCAAGCCAAAACCGAATAAAAAATAATTTTCTTGGAATTTTGCCCGTGGATTTGTGCGAAGACGTCCTTGGCACACATTCCTCTGGGTTCGATGCTCCCAAGATGCAGTTTCGTCACTAACCATCGCCTTGAAGAACATCAGCAGGTCTTTTAGAGAATTCACTAGACATGAAGACAGCAAAGAGAGCTGGCTGAACTTCCACCAACTTGTCCACCTAATTAGAGATCTCATGTCTTGATTGGCTGTTATCTGCTTTCATATATATGAAATAAAGCTGGTGTGGGTCGGTTTTCCATTTCGAAGGAAAAGTTGATTGGAAGGGATTCTTGAAATGGTCTCACCAGAACCTGAACTAGTGAAGGCTGTTGGGTTGTGCGAAGAAGTTCTCGACTAACCGTAACATGACTTGGATGAACGAGTGCTGCGATTTTGGCTGTATTGTCGGGGCGGACATCGTCTGAGCAATAAACTGTCAGTTACCAAAACCACTCCAGATACATTAAACTCTTTTTAGATGTCTTAATGATCAGAACAGGTGAATAGTGAAGCAATGATGTATATAGAAATCCAAAGAATGCTGGCTTTATAATTAACTTCTTCTCCAATCAAAGGTATAAAACAAAGGTTGGCCTTTTAAAATCTATGATTATTTGGCCCATGAGACTAGCCGATACAGACTATTGTGAAAATGGACTGGATCGGCTTGAGAATAACTATCCCATAGGATTGATTTAAAACAACATTAGATTAATACCGAATAGTTTTACGGATGATGAATAAGTGAGTAGAAATACGTAGACCTATTCTCATGTTTTGTGTTTAGCTTCGTGCATTCTCTCTAAAAGGATAGGTAAACAAGTGAGAAATCGGGGGATAAAAACTGTTTTCATTTAAACTACCACACTTTCTTCAGTTATGCCGACTTGTAGAGAGAAAGTTGACTCATAATCCAGATCGGGTTGCTACAAAATAATGTGTTCATGTGGTCGCTTTTATGTTGGATAGACTTGTCGTCCTATTCGACAAAGTGAGGCTGAGCAGAAAAGCGTCTGCAAAGGTTGCTGGGTTCAGGAATCGAGGCTGGCTTAGCACAGAGCAAAAACGGGGCACGAGATAGCATGGTCTCAAACCTGTCGTTTTACTAAATATGCTGTTTGCGGCTGAACCTAAAATTATAGAAGCCATATAAATAAACTGATTAGGAAATATCTTGAATGTAAGGAATACCGTAAAGAAGATAAGTAATTAAGAGACTGAAGAGTAGAGGGAGTTAAGGCGCACGCAAAGAGGAGGCGACGCAACTAGTATTTTCACAATTGTTGGGATTACTTCCATTTCGAGTAGAAGTGTTGGGTGAAGAGATTCGAAGGTCGGTTTCACCAG